AGAGCAAAAGCAACCTTATTAACAACAAAGAATAATGTTATATTTATAATTTAACTAACTTAATATTATGAGATAAATTAAATAATCTGATCGCAATATTTTTTATAATACTCTAAAATTTATAAAACTATTTCTATTATTTATTATATATTATTTTACTAAATAAATAAATATTTTAAATTAAAAAAGTTATATTAGTTATGTAGGAGGAGTAAACTTTGGCTTCTATCATTTTTAAACATATAATACTTGATACTACTATGTTTCAATTTAGTTTAATTGAAAAAAAAAAAAAAAAAATTGTTGAAAAATGAATGTTAATAATTGTAACTCCTTAACTAATATAAAATTACATTAGTGACCTTAGAAATTAATTATAGTGAAGGGCATTTTTTGGCAATCCAATTTTTCAAGAACAACTCTCCCTTTCAGGGGCGGAGCCAGCCTCATCATTCACCGGGGTCAACAATATTTTTTAGTGGGGTCATTAACCTAGTAAACAGTGTTTGAACAGTATTTTATACTAAAAATTTTGAAATCTATAGGGGTCAGCTGACCCCAGCTAGCAAGTGTAGCTTCACCTCTGCTCCCTTTTAAGAGAGTTATTATTATAGGTTAGGAACAGAAAGTTGTACATCTTCATGTTACTTACGTGATTCCAGGGAAGAAAGAAGTTCAGATAATGTATCTTACCTTACATGATCAAAATGTGTAATGCTACATGAATTTGCAATCAAAAGAACTCACCGTTTCAGCCGCAACATGGATCTGTGGAGAGCTATGAAAACACATGTGCTTCCAATCACTTCCTGCCCCAAATCCAATAAAATTTATAATAAATAGCAAAAAAGGACCCTTATGTATTAGGTGAGCAAAAAATATCTAAGATCAAATGACCAATCAAATGGTCATAACAACAATAACAATAAAAAGTTTGCAACAACCACAGCAACAATAATAATAATAGGACATAAAGCAGGCTGAGGATGCAAGACAATTGGAAGTCTAAATATTGAAGAAAAATGTCGGACTTCAGGGAGTTCTAATGTCATGATTCATATGGTTAAGTTGACGGCTTCCTCTTCCTTATAGTCTAAATATTGAAGAAAAATGTCGGACTTCAGGGAGTTCTATTGTCATGATTCATATGGTTAAAGTTGACGGCTTCCTCTTCCTTATAAGCGATAGGAAAGAAATCGGAATGCTAACACAGAAAACATTTCCGGTTGATTCAGATAGGTAGATGTAGCAATTTAATCTACGAGAATTCAAAAAGAATAGAGGAAAAAAGAATGGCGATTTAACATTTATAATTGAATTATAGCATATGCTGGTCGCTGTTGCAAACTCTCAAAAAGCAACAGTGTACAGTGCAAATTACTGGATGCAAGCCACGAGGATGTTTATGCATTTGAACCAACTCTGGGCAGCCTAACTCTAACAACAGAGAGACAAAACAGTCCCCCCTATAGTGACATTTTCAAAACTGGGAAAAACAGTCGAATCAAGTTTTTTCACACATTTTTATCACAAGGACGTTGCATAAACAATTGAAGACAAGCATAAATATTGACCGATAAGAAAAAAGCGACCTCGTCACTTGGAAAGACAAATGTGGACGGTCTCAAGTTGTGATAATCTTTTAGGCAACTCAACGGCTTGAAACCCAGGAGACGGAGAGGGCCTGTTGAAACCCTCTTGATCTCAGAAACTTCATCAACTGAAAACACGATATTCCCACTGCAAAATCGAAACTAGATGTTCAGTGGCAATAGACAGATAATAAACCAGAATTCTAACACAAGCTATCAAAAAAAAGAAAAAAAAAAACTGAAGGGCAGTCTTTAAGCCTCCTAGATATAATACAAAAATGCTTTCTTATCAAAAAGTTGCTTATTAAAATTTCACTATCATGTTGATGGTGAGTTCAAATAAAGGGGTTATCCTGCACCCAAAAGTTAAAAGATGTTTGATCTACAGAACAAGCAACTTTTTGACAACAACAACAACAATTGTACACATCAACTCACTATAACAACCTAGGTAGCATCATCTCAGATCCTTCTCAATGAGTTGTTCATCAGAACTGAGCCTATTTTTTCTCGTAAAGAATTCTTTAAATTTTTTGGTCAAGTTTTATTTTCTCAAAGCATCGAGCTAACTGAATCCTAACGATCTAGTTTAAAATAATACTGAAGCCACAGACTATAATATTTAGAATTCAATGGATAAATGCAACACACAGAAGGGGAAAATAAGAGTATTACTTAATATCCTTAGAGCGGAAAGTATTTAAAACATTACCCTGGTAAACTTTGGCATGGAAGAATAGAAAGGTCTAGAATAATTGTATCACACCAAACTTTCTCGTGTACTATGAGACAAGCTAAACTATATTCTAGCAAATCCTTACTAAAAAGGCCTTTAAAGATGATAAAATATGGCTGACATAATGGTGGTGACCTCACTTCTTGTAAGTCTGAAAAAGTTTTGGATGCTCCTGAAGTACAGCACCAGTGTCCGAACATAAGAGAGATCTCTCTACCTACATTAGCATTAAATTGACAATTGGAAATGGAATCATGATCTTCAGATTATGCTAACTTTTGAAACACTTAAAAGTTAAAAATAACATAGGTTCTTAATTTCAAAGAGACAATTAAAGTAAAGCAGGATTAGATTTTGTACCTTCAAGGGAAGGTTTGTGACTGAATCAAGCCACGTGATTGCTCCTGAAACCAAAAGGAGATACAGATTGATGCGTTACCTCCAGGGCAATGCATAGAAAAATTAAATAAGTTAAGAACTGCAACAGACCAGGATTAGTTGGGCGGACTAAGGCATAGGTATTTAGCTCAATGGATACACCGCCAGCAATAATGAAGTTAATTCTTCTAACTTTGCGTTTCCTGAACATACGCTTTCTCAGCTGGTCTTGCATGTCTTCAAATCTGGTCACAGGTTTATAACATGATGAGAGAGTGGGGATATGTTGCCCATATTCCTCAATGTCATTAACATCCATCTTCCCTTAATTTAGCAAACATTGAAGGTTACCGTTTGTCTAAAATTTACATACACGACTTTATGATAAACTGAGTAAAACTAGAAGCATGGATGATTGACTGGTAGCTGCTCCTGCTTGTTTCAAAATTGTAAACTAAAACAAGAGACTAATGATATTTTATTTAGGGCACATAAGGAGACTAGCATTATGATATGTTTTTTGTCGCACATTTTACATGAAA